TTGTGTGTGTATATATATATATATATATATATATATACACACACAATGATTTAAGAGGCGCTGGATTATTTACACAATATTAGCATATGTGTATCATTAATATGATATCAAGGTTTCATTTTTAAATATCAACTTATTGTCAATACCGATATATCACGGCACTTCTACTCTGCACAAATAAAAGTGTTGGATTATGTTTGCCCACATTATAAATTAACTCTATAGATTCAGGCTTATTGATATTAAGTCCAAGTCAAATCTGTGTTTCCATGTGTCTTGTTGATTTTAAATGTTTTCTTTAGTGTAGGTTAAACAGTATGGCATGAAGTCATTCTAGAAAATGACAGTCATTTCATACATGACTTGTTAAAACCCTTCGAGACTGTTGCAATTAAGCGTTTTATTCTGGGTTGTGTTGTTTTTTTATCCTCAGAATTTGTTACCCACAGCAACACCACAGGATGCACAACAGTGGCTCTTAAGAAACCGCTTCTCACCTTTCTCTCGGCTCTTCACCAACTTCTCAGGTAGGTAACGGCTTTTGAGTACAGACTTGCAAATGAACACTTGTTCCTTGTCGTATCAAAACAGCTGGACTGAAGCCCCTGTTCATGGGCTCTGGTCATTTGTCACAACAGCAGTTGGACCTTTTTTTTAAAAATATTTCTGTATCAACATGACACAATGCAGTGCCGTCTTCTTTAACACAGAGGCGTGAGGTAAAACATGCACAAAGAGAAATTCCATGCCCTTTGTGTGATTAATCCTTTACATGCATCTATGACGTTATTTTTATAATTTTGCTGCACATGTTGCAACTGCTGAGGCCCCTGAAACAAACTTGTTGTGTAATTCTGAGAGGGAAGGATTTTATGCTCTTCAGCAAGGTCTTGTTTCCGTGTACCAGGGGCAGATCTGTTGAAGCTGACCAGGGAGGATGTCATTCAGATCTGTGGTCCAGCTGATGGTATCAGACTCTTCAATGCATTGAAGGGACGGTGGGTCTTCTTTAATCGACTCCCATCTTACAAACTGTCAACTTCTTAATATATCAAGAATGAAAGGTTGGTTATTTTCCTCTCTGTGGACGCTGTTGACAGGGTGGTGCGCCCGAGGCTGACCATTTACGTCTGCCAGGAGTCTCAGCAGGCGAGGGAGCAGCAACCCAAACATGAAAACGGAGACGCTGCCGCCAACACGTTCTTTGGTCAGTGCCTGTTCTACATCAACATGTCAAACACTGGAATAATAAAATAAAACAATATTGTTGTGAATATCCTCAAACGCATGAAACTATTTGACAATATCTTGTCAATGCAGCCATTGCTTTAACGATGTTTCACACTGCCCCTCACCCTCATCACTTTGAAACAGCTGTTGCCAAAAACTGTGACGTTTTATCTTGAATTTCCTGTTGCTGACATTTGAAGTCATACTTAATCGTTTTAACAAATATTGGAAATATTTGCCTTCTTTCTGAGAGTTAAATGAGAAGATCGATACCAATCTGACGTCTGGACAGTAAATTTGAATCGTAATTACAATTCTTACAGTCCTGTCATCACATTTAACCAACTGAGGCCGTGGAAATAGAGATAGTTGTGCATCAAAAGTGCAATAATTGAGGAAAAAGATGCGATATCCTAACATTAAAATAACCACATAAGGCAGAATATAGTAGTGAATTGACAAATATTTCCTCCACACGGCTCTGAACAGGGCGATGGCTTCCAATCACATCTGAGAAGCTCATGGTTATTATAGGTGGACAATTGACAACAAACCCCACAAGATATCAGAAAATGGCGATGCAGCAGTGAGACCAACTTGATGTTTTTACACTTTTTTTGTACAGATAAAACAAACCAGATTCATTATATAACTTGTTAATTATTGAACTTAAGATGTGCAGGTATGCAGATTCTGTTACCTTTGAACAGAGCTACACTAACTATTTCCAAGCTTCCTGGCGGCTGGCTGTAGACACAGTCATGATAATGGATCTTGTCATCCAACTCATGGCACGAAACAAATATGCGCATTCCCCAAAATGTCAAACTATTCCTTTTAGTTTAAATGTATCTCTAGGTTCCCCCTCAGGTATACACTGTTGGCTGTATCAGCACTTTCGCTTTAGTTTGCACTGTTAGCTGTGGGCCACCGGCTCGCAACACATACTTGTGTGAGAAGTTAAAATTTGTGTTTTTGTACCCGCTTTTCTCTGCAGTATATCACGCCATTTACCTGGAGGAGCTCACATCTGCTGAGCTGACGGAGAAGCTCGCCCAGCTCTTCAACATCTCACCCAGGCAGATAAATCAGATCTTCAAACAGGGTCCCACCGGCATCCATGTGCTGGTCAGTGACGATGTAAGTAACCCTGCTGCTCACTGCCTGTAAGCTGGGTATACACTGCACCATTTCAGATAAAAGGCACTTCAACTGTGCGAGAGCCTGACGACGGCCGAGCAAAGTTTCTGAAATTTCTTCACATTTCAGTCCCAGGTAACCTGGGACACGCGCACACGCTTGTAAACAACTTTAGCTTGTTTCCCTCCTACATTAAACACTTACACTCTTTTTAACAGATGATTCAGAACTTCCAGGATGAAGTATGTTTCGTTTTGGACACAATGAAAGGTATTTGAGTGTGGCATTAATGTGTTTCTATATTTAACGTGGAGCCTTGATGAACTTATCGTTGCAAGTTTATTTATACCGCCCTCCCCTGCTATGCTTTTCTTTTCCTTTTTTCTCTCCAGATGACACGAACGATGGCTACCACATCATCTTGAAGTGAATACTGCGCAGGAGAGTAGCGCTGTTCTCTTCTTTAGACCCGATCCAGTCAGCCCCTCTAGAGCTTCATATTCTTCGCTGTTCCTGGAATACATGGGGACGCCCCCGAGAAACGTCTCGAGGCTGCTAGGAGGACCGTGTGACTAAAGCACCTGGCCCTCTCCTCACTCTACCTTATTGTCTTACTTATGAGGTAGTGACTGTTACCACAGTGAAGTGAACAATCTCCTTGTCGCCCTGCCATTGTCTCCCTTAAGTGGTTGCGTTTTCCTTGATTGCTTATGTCTCGTGAAAGACATGTTCAGCACTACAGCTGCCATCACTGTTTATTTGTTAGCTGAGCGTCTGGCGTGCCAAAGCTCTGTGCTTCAGAAACAGTTTGTCATCTCTTTAAAAACCAACAACCAAATATGCAAAATAGACATAAAAACGACATAAAGTTACTCTGACAGTACTTGACTTTCAGCCTGCCATGCAGCGTGATTGCTCCTCTTCATGCTAGGTTGAGCTTACTGGGATCCACTGAAGCCAGTCTGCAAGAAATGCGGTATAGCAAACACAATCACACACATCAAAGAACCCCGAGAGGCATCAACTCAGTAATCAGGACATTAAGGCGAAACGGTTGGAATCCAGCTGTCCTCAATCACATCCGTTAGTCCTTTGAAAGTGAACAATGTCAGTCTTTCACTGGTTTGAAATGTTACTTTTGAGGAAGAAAAAGCTTTTTTTTCCGGACTCCCAAACACTGTAAAATCCTTGTAGTTGGTGTAGAGCGCATACTGGCGCTCGTGGTTGTTACCGATGATGATGATGATGATGATGAAGAAACACTGTCTGTGTTAGTGATCTCAGTGGCTACACCATCAAGCTGTCTCCTGTCCACGTGTTTTAAACATTATTTGTAAATAGATCATTATTTTAAAATGTTTTCATAAGGAATCACATGTTTCTTTGGCAGTTAAAATAATTGTTTTTGGACGTTGCCACATCCAAACACTACATGTAATTGAGCTGTTGGTCACATCAGAGCTGCATGTAAGGAGATATGGTTAGTTTATGTTCAGTCCATTGTACTGCTTTAATGAAATTGAAATTTTAGATCCCAATTTTAGCCCCATATTGTCAGCATTATTAAAATGCTTACCCATGTACTGGCCACCATCTGTTGTCTGTGTCCTTGAGGTGTTTGCAAAAAATAAAACTTTTTTTTTTTTTTAACTATCGTAAATGTTCTTAATCTCCTCAGGGGAAAAAAAAGGAGGGTCTTATTATTTTCTTCATATTATTAAAAGCACATCTTTCCCTTTACTGGACAGATGTGAAGGACATGCACATGTATCGAAACTATCTTTAACACAATATTACATTCTGTACATCAGAGTGAGTCAGGTTTATGTTAAATGCAATTAATATCCAGATGCTTTCGAGTTTTACACGTCTGTTTCTGAGCAATATGAACAAAGAAGCAAGAAAAAAAAAAGTCACTTCATTTCCCAGCATGCTCCGGGGCAGGGCATGCCTGTGATGTCACAATAAGTATATATACGGCTTCAGGGAAGAATTTCTTCCTCCATTGTTACATTGTAACAAACGGGGCCGGGGCGACAGCGAAACGGGGAGAAACGCGTCTTCTCGTTACAACATTTGCAACATTTTGACACCAATCTTAAGAGAAAAAAAAGCAACCACATTCCGCGTTAATGCGAGACAACAGCGAAATAAGCACCGCCGACTGAACCCGCCCCGGCGAGAAAAGAAGGATAAACGAACACAGATGTCAGCGGATTTCTCCATCGCAAGCTAATTTCTTTTTTTTTTACATCAGGAAGATAAGACATTCGGCTCATTTACGTTATTCACGTTGCACCGAAAATGTTGGGAAGTGAATCGCATATGACGTTCCCCTCTTTCTTCAGTCTGTCCTTTAAATAGATAGGCATGCAACATTTACATAAAGCACGCAGGTCTAACAGACAGCCCCTGCTTTCTCTCTCCGCGACATATCAGTGTGCAGAACAATGAGCATGGAGCCCAAGTAGCCTAATTTAGTCCGATTTAAGGGTTGCACATTGACAGTCACGCAAGCTTTCGGCCAGATTATTTTGGGTAACCGTTGCACCACGGTTGCAGTCTGGATACTCGGTTTTGACACCAAAAAAAAAAAAGCAGCTCATAGGGCGTTGAAAGATTGATGTGCAGCTAACATTGGAAAAGGGAAACTACCTACGAGTTGGTTGGAATAAGGGTCCCTGTTTCTGCCCCAGGTAAGAGAGTTTAGTATTTCATTAGAGGTTTGCCATTGTGTGTGTGTGTGTGTCTTTATTTGTGTGTGTGTAAACTGGAAAGAGAGGGCGGTTGAGCTGTTGCCTATTAGACTTATACTATTCAACCTCCCCCAACACAGTCAGTCGCTGCATGTACACAGTTTACCAAATACCTCACCGACACTGCACATCCCTGAAGGTGAAAAACGTTGTACTATGAAGACACAATGGTGTGTAAGCGTGCTATTCAACTAAGTCCTTAAAGGAACAGGAGTCTGATCTCCACAAGGGAAATGAGCCTGCCATCAAAATTCAGCCCCCTGCTCTATTTGCCCTATTAATGTTGGGAGTCCCCAGGTGGAACAAATGGTTCACATTCATGCTTTAAGCATGATAGCATCTCGACTGAACATTTAAGACATTGCAGCCTCTTCAGATGTGTTAAATAAAATATAAGCGAGACAAAAAAAACAACTAATTCCAAAGAAGAACATGGATGAAAAATCCACATAAAAACTGAATTTGTGTGCAATTTCAATGATTTTGCACAGTGCACAACACATCCACCCTATGCATCAACACATTCATTATAACACGGGTGGTCTTATGATTTTAGTTTCAGATGTCACATCCTATTTTAGTTTTTTTTTTACTTGTTCACACATCTCCACGGCTGCAGCAGTTTCATTATTCACCGTAAGCTCCTGGATCTGTCTCTGTGGCATCTTCTCAACATTGTCTCTCTATTACACTTAAGGACAAACTACACTACGATAGCATACAAATGTTACATATTAGTCCTTTTTAAGGCTGGATTTGTTCTTCGGTAATGTGGAAAATGCCTAATTTGGAGTTGTCCCAATTAGGAATGAAGATGCAGCCCGTTGCTGTCAGAAGCATGTGACGTGTTAACCCAGACCCAGTTTAAACTGTGTCTCGTGCAGATGGAGAGTTGCATAGTGAACTAGTAATTACCTTTGGAAGCGCCTGATTCATAGACGATACTAATATGATGAGCTGGATCATGGGCACACTGTCTTTATGGCATGTCGTCATGATTTTTCATTTATTTGGATTGAAAGCACAAAAACATTGTGAAATGCAGTTTAACCACAGACCATAATATAACATGCTGCCTACATTCACCTTATTTGCCCTCAACCCGTCGGTGAGATTGATCAGCCTCATCTTTCTGATTCACTCACATCGACCCCCATCTGCATCCTTTCTAGTGGAACTACACGCGAGAGAGAGAAGAGAGAGCGAGAAGCCATCGAGACCGTTTGCTTCGAGGCTCTGCGCGTTAACCATGCTTGCCTAGTTGCCATGGTGACGTTTCTAGACTTGATGATTTCAAAGTAGGATTTCATGTGAGGGGGGGGGGCAGAGGGAGGAAATGATGGAGCTGGAATACAGATGAAAGGAGACCATTTAGCCTCTTTTTGTGTTTGTTTTGCCCCCTTTATTAGTCGTTGCGAGTCTCTTTGTGAGTTTTATGTCTCTTTGTGGTCATTTTGAGTCTCTTGCTGGCCGGTACGTGTCTCTTTGAGTGATATTTTGTGGTTGAAGGCCCTGACACCTTGAGCCCCCCCTGGGCCTGTACCCAGTAAGCCCGTTCAGTAATCCACTCACGCCTCTGTGCCCTCAGACACCAAGTTTCCATGGAGGCAGGTTCGTCCCTCAGCCTCAAACGAAGATATGAAGAGGTGGACCACAGCTCTCCATTCTCCACACCGAAAGACTCCGACGATGACATCTCCAGCAGCGACAGCGCTGATAGCTGCGACAGCCTCAACCCCCCTTCCAGCACTGCATTTACCCGTAAGGAACAGCAGGAGACAAACGTTAAAGGCAATACACTCTAAAACCCACTCAAAACAATTCATTATCAAAAGTATTTAATTACTCATGTGTAACATTGCATACCAAATGTCCCCCCCCCCGCCCCCTTTTTCCCCACTTCAGCCACCTCCATCCTCAGACAGCACAAGCCGTCACCGGGGGGGAAACGGGTACGTTTTGATGTGGTGACGGTGTATTACTTCCCCCGGCGGCAGGGATTCACCAGCGTGCCCAGCCAAGGGGGCAGCTCTCTGGGCATGGCCCGTCACCACTCCTCCATCAGGCACTACACGCTGGGCGAGTTCGCCCGCGAACAGGAAACAAGCCACCGGCACACGTTACGCCAGCACCTGCGCCAAGAGAAGCTCAACGCCCGCAAGATGAAGGTATATGTTTCAAGTAAATCAAGGTGTCTTGTTTTGGGTCCCAATGGCACACATAAAAATGGCCGCTGCTCTGACCATCCTGCTACGTTGATTTAAATGGGAATGTCCGTTCTTCTCCTATTTTATTTCTATGGGTAAAACCTGTTTCATGTTCCTCCTACCTAATTACCCCATTAATTATCTCAAGACTCCCCAGATTTATCTTGTGAGAAGTCACAGCCCCCAGGATTGGAAGCACTGGAATTAGCTATGAAAATATTAAGTTATTACAACTCAAACCAGCTTCAACAGTAAAATGCTGCTTATGAATCAGTTACAAGGCCTAATATTCTGCAGAACAAGTACTTTATACTTATTGTTATTTTCTTAAGTGGGATTCTGATTGAAGGACTTTTAATCGAGTATTTGTACATTGTAGCGTTTGTACTTTTATTTAAATAAAGGATCTGAGGTGAACTTCAATATTCTACACATTGGTAGCTGTGTTGTAATCTTGATTTAACATGAGGCTCTCTTAATCACATTCACTCTCCTTTTACACTGCTGTGTGGACAACATTTGTCCGTCAGTTTACTTGTAACTGGAAAAGTTGGAAAAGACAAACAAGTAGATTTATGTTTTTGTCACTTTTATGCACAAAATCAAGTGCTGCATACATGACACCGTGCAAAAGAATTTCCAAAGAGCTGGAGTTTTGGTTGAGTCATCCTTATTTCAGACCAAATACAGCCACTGCCCTTTAAATGATGGCTCTGGTTACAAAATGCACTTCCTTGCTTTTCCCCAACATTGTCCATTTGAACGTTTTAGTATGAAATGATGAAGCTGTTTTTGAAGTCTTCAGGATAACTGTGATGCACTTGAGCTTTAAATAGGGATTCAGTCTCTTGTTGTCTCAAGCTCACACTCCTACACTGACTGTCGTCCACAGCTGACGAGGAACGGCACGGTGGAGTGCGCTCAGGCAGACCTGCTGACTCTGGAGGACGTATCGGACGAGGACCTCGACGTGGACGGGGTGGAGGTGGACGACTGTTTCTTCCTTCAGCCGCTGCCCACAAAGCGCCGCCGAGCCCTCCTGCGGGCCTCCGGCATCGCCCGCATAGACGCCCGGGAGAAAGCTGAGCTCAGAACCATCCGCCTCTCGCGGGAGGAATGCGGCTGCGACTGCCGCTTGTACTGCGACCCTCGCCACTGTGGCTGCAGCCAGGCTGGCATTAAGTGCCAGGTAAGGGTTGTTGGCTTGTCTGTGTGTGTGTGTGTGCAGAAAGAAGAGAGCCGCTGTGCAGTTTGCCGAGGATCAAATGAGTCTTCAATGCTCAATACAATGTGTTCCCTGAGAGCCATACCTAAAGGACTGTCTGTGCGTGTGCACTGTAGTCTTGACTGATTTTACTGTTTCCATTTGGTAAAATAAATCAGCCATTATTAGTTATTTTTCTTATTAGAAATTGTGAATGTTGTATTCAAAGTATTTCTGTATGATAGAGGGCTGCAGAAAATATGATGCATTGAGATTGAATTTTTCTTTCATAGAGTGCTGGAGGGACGACATGTTTTTGTCGACCAAACAACTCATTCCTGCAGCACTCTATTGATCGATGCAGTGAAATCTGCAGAATTTATATATCAACGCATCAATACAGTGAATCAATTAATAATCAATTTCATCATCATCATCTATTTGTACAGCTCATTTCAAGTCACTGATTTTGAAAATGATAAACAAAATTGTCAAAGCATTTTGACACATTCAGAATATTAGATGCTTTGTGCATAAGTTTATGTGCATGACTGTTTTCATAAACAATTATTAAATAAAATATATTATTTCACATTTGTTAAAAATGAAAGAATATATTACATGAAAGTCTGTATCTCTCCCTCTATTGTTCATAGCTACACCATTTAAAAACAAATAATTAGCAACTATTCTGATGATAGATTAATTTGATGGTTCAAATGTTCAAATTTGACAATAATGCAAATAATCGTTAGGTACAGCCCAGGCATTGTTGATGTTGTTAATAGTGGCATACCTGTTAGAACAATTATCAAGTTGTTTGATATTAGAAAAAGTTAGCTTTTTAACTTTCTCCATCTCGACCCGACTTACTACACAGTAACCAGATATTCTCTCTCTCTCTTATCTCTGTGTCATCTGTCTTTGTCCTTTGCACATACAGCTCATATACCACCTATCTAAATGAGTCAGTGACGTGTTAGCCTAGTTGACTGGAAGTGAAATGACCGTGGCTTTCATCCCCAGGTGGATCGAATGTCATTCCCGTGTGGCTGCTCTCGGGATGGCTGCGGCAACGTAGCGGGCCGCATCGAGTTCAACCCTCTACGTGTCAGAACTCACTACCTGCACACCATCATGAAGCTGGACCTGGAGAAAAGGAGGATGCTGATACAAGGTACAGGGGACCAGTACACTGAATCTGACCAGATGTCCTCCCCCTCCTCCACTTGCCCCACTTCTCCGGCCCTGTCCTCGGCCGCTGGCCTGGACTCTGAGCTGGAGGAGAGCGAGGTGCAGACAGTGGTGGAGGTTCAGGATCTCCTGGCAGAGCAGGACATTCTGGAGCGGGAAAACGAGACAGCCGTATTGCACCTGCAGAGCGCGGAGGAGCAGGAGAGGAGGGAGAGGGAGGAGGCTGCGGGGGAGACAGTGCAGCAGGAGCTGGGCGCTGGAGGGCTCGCGGAGCAGCGTCTCTGCCTCCTGCCTGGTGCTTTGGGAGGGGAGCTGCCCGAGCAGGCGGAGGTGCCGGGTGTGGAGCAGGTCCTCCTGCAGGGGCCGTTCCCCACGGGGGCCACGGTCCTCTGCATCACTGACAACCAGGAGGAGAGTCCCTCTGACCTCCTCAAAGACTCCACGTCTCTGCTCTACTATCAGCTCAGTCCCATAGAGCCTGGAGACTTTGAGACCCCGCCCAGAGATTCAGGAGGAGACAACCGGAAACAAGGAGGAGGAGAGGAGGAGTCAAAGCATGATAAGCCTGAAGAGATCAACTGCAGGCAGAGTTTAGGCAAGTCTGTGACCAATGTGATTCTGTGCTCGGAGGAATGCATGGCAGCAGTGGAGGAGAGGCCCTCGAGTCCCCAGCAGAGCCTCCCCGAAATGCAGTGCCAGCGGGAGTCGTGCTTGGAGGGAGAAGTAAATCCACCGCCTCCTGAAGTTTAGTTCTAGCTTCTCTGCAGATATTTTGCACAATAGCTTCATCTAAGATGAAAAAAAAAAAAAAAAATACATGTTTCACATTTATTACTGCTATCATCAAGAATTATTACAGGTTGCAATCTCTTGTAGTGACTGTCATTGGATTATGTGGAGCATGAGGGAAGGGGGGATGCTGAAAGCACATACAGATCACTCCCCAGAAGTAATATGGATGCAGTTACAAGGCAACAGTGAACATAATTCTGTTGGAGGGTGATGGATGCGGCCTTAATGGAAAAAAACAACATGAAAACACTTGTGTGTAGGAGTCATTTGTCGATGAGAAAGTACAGCAAGTAGGGCTTTGTTAATTTCCAACGTAGCGAACAGAAAAACACAATGTATGAATGCTGACATAAGCCTTTTGTTTGATGATGTATAACACTATCAACACTAAACACTTACTTTTTTTGCAGCACGCAAGAAGCTGGTAAATTCAGGGCTCGACAGTTAAGGGTCGCCAGGTTGCATTTGGCGGCCATTTTGAGAAATTTGAAACCAATTCTTAACCTGTAAAAAATAAGGATAACAAACAGCCAAACGTGCACCCACGAATACACATTTGTTAATAATATTTGTTGAATTTGTGATATTCAAATATTGCTGTTACAGTCAGAACCACTTTGCAAGTGCACAGTCATCTCTTTAAGAGACGATGATTGACTGTGAAAAGTCTGACGAACCCATCGACATCACTAATGAGTTACTGATAAAGAACCAGGCGAAGTATCCCAGCATCTTTGAGCTGGACCGAGAATTATGCTGCAAAGCATGAAGTCCTCTAACTCACAAACATACTGAGGTGGAGGCTGTGAGAGCTGGCGCAGCCATTGGTGAGCCGATGAACCGCCATTCGCTAGATTTTCATTATTAAGCTGACGTGTAACTTCATCGTATCTTCTACTCAAAATATCAAATATGGTAACCATATTTCCAGTTTCGGTAACCAAAAGCTGCTTTCACAGTTAAGTGTTGAGCCCTGTAATTCAGAAACCTACTGGCTCACTTTCCACTGTGGCAAACATGTGCCATCAAGCCAAATGAAGGCCTCCGATAGGATCATCTGTTGAAAATAGACCTAATAATCCTGGAAATACTTGTTTTTGTGTACTGTATATGTGTTTGCAATGTGCAAGACAGAGCCGAGGTTGCTGCTTTTTTTTTTTTTCTATCTGCACGCACATTGTGAACTGAGGGCCGCGGGTGTTGTGGCTCTGCTGTAATGAAGGTAAACCAACACAGAGCGGCAGACTAACACTGGCCTTAGTTGTTGCTCTTGCTCACCTCGGGCTGCTTGTGCAAATGCAGTCGATATCTGTCAAAAACCTAGTTTACCTGTAGTTACAATGCCTATGATATAACTTATCATTTCTTTGAGTAACATGTCTTTTGTGGATTAGATACTGTCGGTTTGAAGTCCTCACAGTCTTTATCTTTGAGTGAAAAGAAACCTCTTTCACAGGCTACTGCTACACTGTAAAACCATGTGTATATACATGTTGTGATGAAATGCCAGAATAGATCTTCCAAGTCCTCTCCTTTTTTAATAAGTTATACTGTAAGGAAGAGATGAATCAAGTCAAAGTCAAAAGAAAATAGCATTTAAAGAGTCAAAGAAAGTAATTATACAAAATGATGTGATGTTGCTAATTTATGAAAACAACCTGCATTTGTATATTTTATGTTTAACCTGTACAGTGTGTGTGTACTTTACATTAGTGTGTCTTAAGTGAGAGAGAAAGTTGAGTGTGTGTCTGTCTGTGTGTGCATGTACATGTGTATGTACTGTATTATGAAAAGGAGGAGGGGGAGTATATTAGTGAGGATACATATTTTATTCCTGAAAGGTGCTGATGTTACAGATTTACAATCCACTGTTGTGTTTTCCCTCCCCACCCTCGTGAGAAAATATGATTTTCACGGAGACACTTCTTGATGACTAATGTGTTGGAGAGCAAAAGCTACCGCACTGCACATCATTCATGTGGCGACTCTGGAACGAGGTGTGTGTAAAGGCAACATTTCCTGTCTTTAAATGTCTTTTTTTTAAATATATGTCTGATTAATACTGATCTGCGTAACTTCTTCTTACACAAAATCAGTTCTTTTGTTTTGCTGCCTAAAATTGCAGCTGTTGCTTTTGGGCCGTCCGAACACACAATGTAATGTACGAGATGTCTGATGTATTTCTTTGCCTTTTTTTTTTTTAATCGTCTTAATATAAATCTGCTTAAGAGTTGCACCAAAGCAGTGGTTTCAGACCTAATTAGACGATGCTCTCAAGCATCACATTTTAACAAAGCGGTCTCCTGTAGTTATTGTGAGGGTTTAGATTTATTGTGAGCCTTTTCTGTGTTCGCGTGACTCGCCTTCACATCGTGCCATCTTTAAAATGGTGATGATTAGAAGCTGCCTATTGTTGAGCTTTTGTCCTTTGGCTTTCTATCGGTAGTTTTAGGTTTGGGACCACTGCATCCAATTAACTCCAGTACACTATGTGATTGTGTGTGTCTCTGTGTGAAAGGGGTGTGCGATTGTTGAAAACAATAATACGTTTAGACTTCATATAAAAGCTATGGGAACTACTCTCATGCTAACTGTTGCCTAAAGTGGACAAAAAGGTTTTTTTATACAAAAATAAAAACAATAAAACACTCATTTTAAAAAGGATAACATTCCATGTCTGTTGTGTTGATTGAAGTATCGAATCAATCTGTTGGCATATTTCACATGATTTAAACCCTACAGGTTATTGATTCCCTTGATTTGGCTAAATGTGGATCATGACGCCCATGATTATGATCCATTTTGGCGATTTCACTGTTTTCCGACTGTATAAAGGAAGGCAACAGGAGAAGCTTTGGATCTCATATATGTTCCTTGTTAATTTAAGGAGAAAGCTCCAATGAAACTATGTTTTGTAAAGCAAGGAATCCCTGTCTATGTCCTTTGCATATCTCGAGAACAATTCATCTCTCGTGAGTAAAACTGTGCTAATATCTCCAATGTTACTGTCAGCAAAATAGTCACAGCTAGCTAAATCCATGGTACTTTGTTACCGCGGTGTTAATAATCAAGCCAGCCACATTACCTCCATTAAGTGTATTTTACTGATGTTTCTGACCGTGAGTGTTTTTCCAGTGTTTTTAAAGGCCCTTTACACAGCAGCCATTTTGACCTGTTGCAGGGTAAACACAGGCGTAATTGATAAAGGCAAGACGAGTTTACATTTCAGCAACAAGGCAATTCAAAGTGTATTCCATAAAACATCAAAAGACAAAGTGCAAAAGAAACCCATAAAAGGACATTTAAATACAATTGGAAACAGTCATTTAGTGCCAAGAGAATAGAAAATACAAACAAGCTAAAAAGAGTAAGAGGCAGTTGCAGCTGACCTGCAGTTCTCTGGGAGTTTGTTCCAGATATGTAGTGCAAATAAACTGCACGCTGCTTTTCCATATTTAGTTTGAGTCAAAAATGAATTATGGTCCCATTCTTTTTAGTGTGCCACGCTTACCAGGGCCCCGGCCCACCTACATGGAACAGGGCCATAATTAATGTTATTAATTACACCTGTGTTTACAATGCAATGACGTCAAAGCGGCTGCTGTGAAAAGGGCCCATTTCTGAACTAAGAGTAGGCTAAAACTATTAATACTGCACAGTAAAAGTCCAGCGTTCAAATGCCGAATGGAAGAGCACTATCGGTTCAATTTACTTCAAGGTGCTAAGTACGAGATTGGGAGCATTTCTGTTGCCTTTCAACGGCTCTCAACACGGTGACAAGCTAATATAATGCTGGATAGTTTGATGAATAATACTGAATTATACTTGAAGAGTTATATTTTGTGAGTCAAATCTGAATCAACAAAGTACCCAGTATTTCTCTGGCAGTTAAATGTAGTTCCGATGTTTTCCTTTAAAGTAGAAGTGTACAATAAGTAATTAGGCCCAGTATACAGTTGAGTTAGGGGCCTATCTGAGTTACAATTATCACAAAAATATTCAGTATTTTTCACATCTAAACGTCTTAATATATAGCTGTTTGGGGCCTTTTTAGTTAAGTTGCCTCCCTTGCCTAACAATAAAGTCTGCTCCTGCTAGTCTGGCATTCCCCACAATGAACCACAGTGTATTTCCCTGTGTTTGTGACAGTTAGTAGCTGTGACTTGGGTGTGTCACGCAACTATGTCATGGCGGCTGTATCGCTCAGGACCTAAGGAAGCTCAGTGTTCAGTGTGATGTTGTTTTTTGGGCATATCTTGAAAAAGCTGCAAAGCAGCAACACCACAGGCCGAGCCTCCAGCCCCGTACTGATCAGGTATGTTATGATCGAGCACTGCACTAATTGTTTCTAATTTAGAAAACAAAAATGGTCCGATGATTTTACTTGGTGTTTATCTTTTTTTTCGTCACTACAATCACTCACTGCAAACTGATTAGAGTGATGACGTGTAGTCGCTCTAAAAAATAAAACGTGTCCTTGTTCAGACCCTGGAGGTCATGACAGAGACTGTCTGCTGAATGCAGTACATTCTCTGACCACTAGATGGCAACATGAACTCGGTGCACTCCTCAACACAACCTGCTCTTCTGCATATGTGTCACAAGGGTTCATTCACTGCAGTTGTTCCTCTGAAATTTGAGGCTTTTCATCATATCCACGCCAAAGGATTATAGTACATCTGGAGATGGCCTATTACATCTCAACTGGTTTCTTTTACTATGTGATGCCTCTTTCGCAACCTGTTGTTTTCCACTCTTACTGAGCTGGCTTTGATTCCTCCGAATACTCAGTGGCAGCGAGTAACATCTTTTATAGAATCGCCCATGTTATCTTACAGTTTTAGGGGTCCTCTCACATTTCACTGTGTACAACAGCTGACCGTGTAAGGCAAGATATTTGCTCTCTTCAATGGCAGGAAGTTGCTAGGTCTCTACTCTGGGATGCAGGATGCAGACTCACTGTTCTGACGCATACGTCCCTTCAAATAGCTTTGAAAACCAAATACTCATGACCACTGGTACAGACAATAGTCTCATAAGTGATTGCGAGAATTCATACAAGATTTCTATTATCTTAAACAGGGCGATCGACCCTGAGGAGTATTACTCAGCTTGTGAAAACAGAGTGTGGAGTTTAGTGGAGACGTGAGCATTTATCAGGCGGGAATGTTTTAACAAAAGATGCTGTTACGTTGCATTATGGGAAGTGTAACATACATAGTTTTTTGGAGCTTGTCTCATGTTAACAGGAGTGCTGCTTCAACGTGGACCATTCAAATTTTCAATGTGTTTCCTACAAAGTTTCCCAACCTCTAAGTTGCTGGTGTACACATTTAAGTGTGTCTCTTAACTCAATGTTACCTGACTAAAATTCCCCTATTCCTCAGTGCCAGTCACCGTGTGCCATTATTCAGTCTGAGACACAAACAAACACCACAAACATGCAGAAACAAATTACCTCTGGAACAATTGGGGCAGCAGTCCACCGCTCTGAGAACTATGCATCATCTGTTTAACCTTTCCGGCCTGTTGCTTTCTATTGTTTAACCCATCCAATGGCCGGAAGAACTCAGCCGGGCCTGATAGCTTCGGGGCTGATGAAGGAGACCATCTTGAGCCTGTAGAAATATTTTGAGAGGACATTAAAAAAACACAGATCACAATCAGAGGAGAGAATTCTCCCATAGCCATCTGAGTGCGTGTTGACAGATGTGCGAAATCACCAGCTTTATCTGAGCATTAATTTGGCTGTTGTGACTGGACCGAGCCTTTGAGAACAACTGGGCCTTAGGAGTGACGTATGTGAAGTGGAAAGTTGCCACACCGCCTCACTCCAGTCTACCAGTCTGTAAGTGCTGCTCCAGTGCCTGGAAAGAATGCTCTCTCTTTCCCTCTCTCTCTGTGACGCCAGCGCTATGGCATCATTAGGCCTTCACCGAAACCAATCCCTTTTAAATGGCACTATTCATAAAACCGGCTCATGGTATTTTCGCTAGTCTGCTGCCGTGCTCTTCACATGCTGGTTGAACTGAGGAGGGAAATCTAGACCCTCCGACACAAAGTTCACTCTGTGTGCTCAGGAGACAGGATCCGAATATCCCGAAAGTGGGAAGAAAGAAACAATGAGGGCAGTGAAGGTCAACACAAAACCCAAAGCTGCTCAAACTTTCTCTTTGGGCCTTTCAGCGAAAGGACAATATATCAACCTAGACTTGTCTACATATGTGGTGCCTCTATATTTGTAAGACATAATTATCTGTTATAGTCTGTATTCTCTAATATATAAACTATTGATTATCTTTTTGAGGGATGCATTTTAATGATAGTGAATGGATGTATGTATAGTAAGGATGCCTTAAAGCAGTGGTTCCCAAACTTTTTGGCTTAAAAACAAGGCGGGGTTAAAGAAAACGCTAGTGCGCTTGCTCTATGGGAGGACACCCAAAATGTTGATCCATCGCATGTATTACTAAGGAAATTGGAAGGGCAAGCCGCAATTCCCTTTCCCATTTATCATAATTTTTCCAGTAACATCTGCCTGTTGGCGCAGAGAGAGAGAGAGAGAGGGGGGGGGGGCTGTTAACAGAAAGTAGTATTAAAGATCAGTAGGTTTTCAGGCGGTAACAGGTAACTGAAAGTATAGCACTCAATTGGCAGTTTATTAGGTATAGCTTGCACTCCAACAGTCCTTTAATACATGATGATGATGATAATAATCATTTTGGAGGATGCAGTTTG